ATTTTATAATTATTAGTAATGTCACTTTAAAAATGTTAACTACTTCCTAATAAAATCCATACAGTAAAAAGGTTTATATGCTAATTTAAACAAGCCCAAATTGTCTAAAACTATTAACTACTTTCTAAAAATCCATGCAATAAATGACATTTATATTCTAATTCAAACCAATTCATTCGTATCACACTGATCGTCAGGGAGAAACGAACCAACGGGGTCTGGATTGTAATTTTTAACAAGATCTCGTATCGCCTCTTGCAGGTTTTCCTCAACAGTTTTCTTTCTACGGAGTTTCCTTAATAAACACCCCGAGCATATACGTGTGTTATCATCTATTCGAGGACTGATAGGCAGTTTTCTTATTTCCTGTTCTATTGGGAACGAAGAACGACCACGTACGTTGATTCTCGATTTGCTTGAACTAAGATTGGTTAAGCAGAGAAAGCATAACACCTCATCCATATGTATAATTCTACGCACTGGCGGTTCCTATTTTGCCGCCATTTTGTTTAATAAAATTTATTCCAAAATAATTATTCGAAAAGCTCTTGACGTCACCGGACGGCATTATCGCGCTCAGATTTCAGGCGTCTCTCCCCGTGTTCAAGCGGGGAAAACGCCTGACATTTCAGGCTAGATGAGGGTGAAAACAAAAAGAAATCAGATTTACATAAACTTCATCTTTGGATTTATTTATGAAGTTATCAAATACATCATTTCTGAAGTTATATATCCAAAACAATCACAGTACATGTTTCATCAGATCTATTAAAACACTTGGGTATTGCCTCATGTTATAAATCTGATAAAAGGTTGTTGTTGGTGCTTTGAATATATTTTAATACAATATAATAACTAACTTTCTTTTCTGCTCTCTCAGTCCCTGCTGTACAATTGTACAAACATGTACATACTACATTTAGACACAAGACGTACATTTAAATTTAATGTAGTGTGAATTAAAAAATTAAATGTCACTCTGTGTAGTACTTTTTATTGTCAATAAAAGAGTTGCACCATAATTATACTTGATTACAGTAATTGGTGAGTGACTAATTATTATCATAACTTCAATTTGTTCTTCTCCATTTTGGCATCCTGTGCCATCTCTTCTGGTACCTGTATTAAACATCTCAGATAAATCCTGTAAAAAAAGATAACATTATTATACCACAATCATGTTATTACACATCTTTAGTAATTAACAAAAATATAAATAAGTATTACATATATGTTAACCCTTTAAGTGGCAATGCACTCTAATGTACTGCACTTTAGGGTCCCCGAGAGCACTGCCGCTCAGTGGATTAAATCTTCTGCATGGTTAGGAATGACTATTTTACTCATCGAGGGGAGAGTGCTTATGGCACTCAATGGAATATAAATCAAACTATCTGCATTTATGCAGATAGTTTGATTTATAGTCCATTGAGTGCCATACCCAATGTGCCCAACTTTAGTTAATCTTACTCTGTCTAACACCAAATTATTTTACTCGATCTGTCTAATGCCAGACAATTTTACTTGTGAAGGGGAGAGCACACTGGTGCTCCATGGGTTAAGGCAAAAACGTTTAAAGGACTACGATATCCAACAACCTAAAGTGCACGGTCATATGGTGGCAACCTAAATCACCCCCCCCCCCC